AGGTCACGGCACGTCAAGCGTTATTGGGAACGCGCACCGTATCTGGTGGGAGAGTTCTGGTGGTACGGCTAATCGCAGACTCTCGCCGCGCCGACCACCTGTGCCCTAACTCCTGACAGGCGAACGAGGGGAGAGAGCAGTGGATGCGGTGAAAGTCTACTGTCATTATAAATTAATTCCTGCGCACGTCGCCATCTCTGCTCTGGGACACACAGTGGACATCGCCGGAATCGGCGATCAGACTGTCGGGGCGAGTGAGATTCCCATGCATGAGGGTTTCAGGTTATGCGAACCAGCTGATCCCAGTCCTGACGCCATTACAACTCCCTAACTGTTTTTTAGTTGCACTCTAGCCTACAAACACTTGACATTTGAATAAGTCTCCAGCTGTATTGCTTTCGTAGCAACACCCATTTCTTTTCGCCATAGTCTTTTTTGCAGTGTTAGCCCTGTATGCATGCAGTTTGATGTGTCCAAGTCGATTTTAATCGTAGAAACTGTGTTCTTATCTTTAAAATGCATTTTAATTTGAGGCAAACACAGGGTGTAAATTAAATTGCACAAATTCATGCAACAGTATTCCATATATAAACTGTTGGTGTAGTTTCGAATGTGGATGCATGAGATAGTTCGCACACGGCCTGCTAGTCGTTTGATTCAACAGGTTGGTCTGTTCTACAAAACTTTAAGGACTCCGATGCAGCGTTCTCAAAAATGACCCAGATAATCTTTCATTTGGAATTGCCTATATGCCGCCTCCCCTCAACATGACGTGGGGGTAGGAACGTACCTCCCCCCACCCCGAATACAGGTGGCCTTACACGAACTTCCCAGGTTAAATATTTCCGGTCCCTAATCCTACAAATAACCCAAACTTGACGCTTAACCATTATCATTAAGTGCAAAGCCACCTTTCCTGTGCGGGTTTTATAAAGAAGCCTTACTATGGTTCCAGAGATCGCGTCTTCCTCTTCTTTACTTACTGAATCTCTTCGAACGCTCGAGGGTATCCCTTGAATTAGATAAATAACTACATATGCTAACTTTGCTTGTCCAAACCCATAACCACTCAGACAGATCAACCCTGTACTTGATATAATCAGTTTTTTTCTTTCTGTTCCACAGTCGACGCAGGGACAATCACAAAACGAGTCCTCTCTGCCTTTAACGCTGCAACCCACTACTGTCCACCCCCTCTGTGGTAATGAGCAATGTGTGTCCCTTCAACCCAGTGGCCAACTGTACAATGCCTCCGAAGATATTCGCCAGTTCGATTACCTTTCAGACTCCTCGCTTAAGCCCTCTTCCACTTCCTCCTCTCTCGTGGACTCATCCAGCAGATTGCTCTCTCTGCCTCAGCAATCAACCGCCCGTTCAAAATCTTCGTGTGTCACAGCTTTCCACTT